TTTCCCCATCCGAGTCTTTTTGAAACTTGAATAAAGTAGCTTTACTAGCCTCCCTTCTTTGATTGTTAGAGGAATTGTATGGTATCCTCGAGGTGATTTAAAAGTCATCTAAAAAGAAACATATATCAGTATTATAAAATTACAATCATTTTTTAAAATGAGGCATATGAAAATAAAATTAGGAAATTTAGATGAAGCCACAAATGTCATTAACTTATAAAATATATGTTTTGGATCCCTAAGCACTTGCTAAGGCTCAGCTGTCAATTTAGAGAGGGAAATATGACAAGTCACAAACTAACAGTGTCCATTTATAAAGTTAAAAACAAATGGGTGGTTTGGGGCTACCTCAACAAGTTAAATAGAAATACCATATGATATGTAATTAATTCCTAGATAATATGACCCACCAAAATTGAAGATAATGTATTCAAAGAGATACTTGGACATCAATGAGCATAAGACATTAGTCACAATAACCAAAAGGCATAAAGAATATGATGAATGGATACAATGTTTTAAACTTGTATACCTAGACAATGAAATATTATTCAGCCATAAAAAGAAATAAAGTAACCATATACGTAACCATACACGGTACAGCATGGACGAATCTTGACCATATTAAGTTTAGTAAAAGGAATCAGAAACGAAATGTCATGCTATATGATTCCATGTATATGAAAATATCTAGAATAGTTAAATTCATAGAGAGAAAAAGTAGATTAATGATTCTCAGGGGTTAGAGAGGGAGAAATTGGGAATGACTGTTTAATGTATATGGGGTTGCCTTTGGGAATAATGAAAATATTTTGGAACTAGGCAGAACAGAATTTTGCATGACATTGTAAGTGTACTAAATACCACTAATTGCATACTGTAAAATGATTAATTTCATGTTATGTAAATTTCACCAAAAAACAAAACAAAACAAAACAAAACATAGAAGCAAAACCAAACCAAAAGAGAAGCAAATGAGTTGTCTGGAAAAGTGCAACTATTTCTAATATTGGTGCCAGAAAGGTCATTGTTTAAGGAAACAAACCCTCAAGAATATCTTTATTCAAACATGTCAAGTTTCATATCATTATATATAAGGTCCTTCAATACAAGCTGGTATCCTGACTATGAAGGGCAATATGGTCACAAATATGTTACTAAGAAATTGAGCCTTGTGATATTAGTAACGTGTGTGACCTTTCATCACCAGGCTTAAGACAGAAATAAAAATACAAACATGTAGAGAAAGAGACGGATTGCCTATCCTGGAAGCTATCATATATATTTCCCTTAGTCAAATTTTTGGAAGCCACAGAGCAAGAGTGAATTTGAGATTGCGTTACTTGTCAAGTATGTAAGTGCACTTTTCCAATTAAGAAATAGGGCTTTATACTTTAAAAGTTAGCCATTCTGGCCCTCC